CTCGGCCGCGGTCGGTCAGTCTGTCCGTCTGTCCGGCCGGGTCGGGTGGCCGCGCGCCGGCGGAGCCCCGCCCCGCGTGACGTCACAATGCCTGGAGCCCCGCCCAACCCGGGGAGCCGGGCGGGAGCCGCGGGGTCCTAGCGCGCAGTGGCCGGCGGGGCGGGCCCAGGCGACGTCCCGGCGCGGAGGACTGGGCGCGGGCCCCGGATAAGATCCGGGCCGCACAGGAGTCCACGGAGCCGGATCTCCGGGCTGAACATCCGCGGCCGCCGGAGCGAAGGTGGCTGCAGATCTGGGCGCCGTCCCGGGGCGCGCCCTGCGGGGTCGTCCCCGGTGGTGGGGAGCGGGACCGGGCAGGATCGCGGGGGGCCCCTGCCGCTGCTCCACTTGGGAACGAGCCTCGGCCGGGCCTGCCAAGAGCGGCTTACCCGATAAGCAAGCTAGGCACGGGCTTTCACGTGCTTACTTACTAACCCGGAGGGAACAGCGTCACACGTTCTTCATCGCATCAAGACGGGAAAAGAGGCTTTGATTCTGCAGGAAGCTGCTGTCCGGCTGGGAGACAGGTGCCCGGCGTGGCTCACGCAGAATCTCCGCGCGATGACGACGCAACACTGTTCCCTACCGATTGGCAAGCAAGCCCAAGTGAGCCCTGCATCCCTCGCTCACTGGGTGCCCCGCCAGGTCTGGGGCTGGGACCTGGTCGCCTAGTCCAGGACCCTCGCCGCCCGAGCGCAGCAGCGGATCCGCGAGGGACCGAGGGAAAGCGCTCGGACCTGGGGATCCTCGAGCTTTGGGGCCTCGAGCGCGTGGGGACCCCGCGAAGGTGGCGCAGCTGACGACCCGCATGCCTGCGGGCCGAGGAATCAAATGCCAGCCCCACAGGCCTGCCTGCAGAGCTGCCCTCCAGCGCCCGGCCTCGAACCCAGCTCGGTACCCCTGCACAGTGTCGCCGAGTGTCACAGGAAGGCCACCGGGATGGGAGAAGCCGGGGGCTTGCCTCCTCGTCCCGGTGGCCTTTCCGATCCTCAGTCCTAACGCGGCCTCCTGCTTCCTGCTTGTCGGGCTTCCTGGGAAATCAAGGAAACATTTACAGCACTCTTCTCGGACTAGGCGTGTTGGTGCAGTGCCTAAGGCATCTGACTGCTGACCAGAGCTGGTGGTTCAAACCCACCAGCCACTCCTGGGAAGGAAGGTGGGGCAATCTACTGCCGTGGAGATACCGCCTCGGAAACCCAAGGAGTCGCTGTGGGTGGGATCCGACTCCACAGCAGTGAGTTTGAGTTCTTCTCGGACTAGGCTGAACCTTAAGGGGAGCGGCCCCCAAAGAAAGTAATACCAGACTGGCCACCTACTTCTCGAGAGCCTTTGTGAGGCCTGCACTGCGCGTGTCTGAACCGTGCCCTTCTGGGCGCGCAGCCCCAGGAAGGCGGAGGGAGGGGGCCGCGCTGCAGCAGGGCTGGGAGGGAGACTGCATATCTTCCATGGAGTGGCTGGTGGATTCAAACTGCCCACCTCTTGGTTAATGGCTGAGAGCTTAGCCACTGCACCACCAGGGCTGAACATACTTATGACTTGTAACAAATGGCAAAAGTGATGGGATTTGGTCATAAAACACTGTGATGGCTGTGTGATTTGCACACGCTGGCTCTTCCTGCTGATCACTCCAGTGAAGAAGCTGTGAGTTGCCCTGTGCAGAGAGGCCCCTGGCTAGGAACTGAGGGTGACTCTGGCCACTGGCCAGCAAAGAACTGCGGCCTCAGTCCATCAGCCAACAGCAGTGAGTGAGCTTGAAAAGGATTCTTCTGCAGTCGAGCCTGGATATGGCTGTGCACCATTAGTAGAAGTAAGAAAATCCTCCCCGGGCCTCTTCTCCAGCCACCTCAGGACTAAGGCAGGGCCCTGCTAGATCTTTGATGGTCACATTCCCTCCTTTGCGGCCCAGCTCCTTTGAGCACCCTGAATGCCCACTCAGCTTTTTCAGGCAGGACTGTCTGTGTGGCCAAATGTGTGATTCAGACACTATACAAGAAGGGCCTGGTGTGGACACTGGCACAACCACAAAAATAAGATAAAAGATAACAAAATGAGGAAATAGAAAACAGAAAAGACAAGAAGTGGAGTGTTGGGTGTCCCGTCAGCCCCTGTTCGTGGAGCCTGTGGCTCTCCAGGGTGGGAAGGGCTGCAGATGTCCTAAGCCAGTTCTGACTGCACCTCAGGCCCATGACCGGTATTTCCCTTCCTCTTCTCAGAAGCCACCAAAGGCAGGGAGGAGAATGAACAACAGAAATGCAGTCTCCATCTTCGAGGAAACAGAGAGCTAAGTGGTGTGGGTTTGCATTCCCTGATAATAGCGATGTTGGGCTTTTCATGTGTCTTTGGACCAACTGTGTCTCTTATTTGGAGAACTGTTTACTCAAGTTCTTTGCCCATTTTTTAACTGGTTTGTTTGTCACATTATTGGTTTCAGGAGTTTGTTCTATCTTCTAGATACCAGATGGTTAACAGATATATAATTTGCAAATATTTTCCCCCATTCTGTAGGTGGTTGTTTTGGATTGAAGGGTGTCCCTCAAGGAGCCTTGGTGGCACAGTGGTTAAGTGCTCAGCTGCTAACCAAAAGTTAGCAGTTTGAACCCACCAGCTGCTCTGCAGGAAAAAGACAAGGCAGTCTGCTTCCGTAAAGATTTATAGCCTTGGAAACCCTATGGGGCAGTTCTACTCTGTCCTATAGGGTTGCTATGAGTTGGAATCAACTCTTTGGCAGTGGATTTGGTTTTTGTTTTGTGTCCCTCAAAAATATGTGTTGTGAATCTGTGCCTGTGGTTATGATCCCATTTTGGAATAAGTTTTCTGTTATGTTAATGACACAGGATTAGTGTGGGTTGTCTTACAAGAGCTAAAAGGAGCTGATAAGGCTGGTAGAGATGGGTGAAATAGACACCAAGACATGCAGTGATCTCTAAGGAACCAGAAGCAGAAGCTGAAGAGATCAGGGCCTTCCTCCAGAGCCGACAGAGAGACCGCCCCTAGAGCCAGCACTCGAATTCAGCCTCCCAGCCTCCTAAAATGTGAGAGAACAAATTTCTGTTTGTTAAAGCCATCCACTGTTATAGCACACTAGAGAACAAGAGACAGTTGTCTCTTCGCTGTCTGAATAATGTCCTTTGATGTACAGAAGATTACTTTTGATGAAGTCAATTTCTCTATAGTTGCTCTTGCTTGTGTCATTTCTAAAAGTCCACCAAATTCAAGGTCATGAAGATTTACCCCTATGTTTTCTTCTCAATTATAGTTTTAGCTCTTACATTTAGATTGTTGACCCATTTTAAATTAATTTTCATATATGGTGTGAGGTATGGCTCATTCTTTTGCATATGGAAATCCACTTTTCCCGACACCACTTGTTGAAGAGGTCATTCTTTCTACATTGAATGGACTTGGCACCGTTATTAAAAATCAGTTCATCCTACATGTTTAAATTTATTTCTGGACTCTCAATTCTCGCCATTGGTCTGTATATCTGTTCTGATACCAGTACCAGACTGTTTTGATTATTGTTGTTTTATAATAAGTTTTGAAACCAGAAAGTGTGAGTTTTCCAACTTTGTTCTTTTTCAAGATTATTTTATTTGGGGCCCCTTGCAATTCCATGTGAATTTGTGGATCACCTTTTCCAATTGTACAAAAACAAGAAGTTGGAATTTGGATAGGGATTGCATTGAATCTATAGGTTGTTTTTGAGAGGATTGCCACCTTAACTATATTACTCTTCCAATCCATGAGCACGAGATGTCTTTCCACTTATTGGGTCATCTTGAATTTCTTTCAACAATGTTTTGTAGTTTCTGTGCACAAGTCTTTCACCTCCTTAGTTAAATTTATTCCTAGGTGGGGAGGCGAGGCAAGATGGCGGACTAGGCAGAAGGATTGCACAGACCCTCTTCAACAAAGAAAAGGGAAACCAATTAACACAGACACAGAAGAT